GCTAAAAATTATAAAATTCACTAGCGCTGGACATACTTGTGGACTTGTATAAATTGAAACCATTTTTCTTTATTATTTATACAATAAAATTTTTCCAGAGTGTGGATTTTTTTGCTTTTAGTATTCAAATTTTTGTTTAATGGCCAAGATATTTAAATAACACTTTCAACATTCCATTAACCCTGTCATGTGGAAATCCAGATTTCCTCTGTTAAGCAATAATACAAGAACATGCATTAGTTCTCAGTGATACAAGTAGGCGTTTTTGGTGCTAAAGGATTAATAATGTCCAGAGCCCAGGCCACCTGAGCCCTGGACCAAAGATGAACTAATCTAGCAAAGACCCTGATCCTTTTCTCACTGAAGTCAGTGGGACTTTGTTCTTTGCTGCCACTAGGAGCAGGTCCAGTAAAGCTCAATTTAAGAAGTCTATTACTCTCACCCCTACACGTCCCCACCCTACATAGTTAATTTTTTTCATGTCTTAATAAAGAAACAGCAAAAAAATCAATTGAAAAAAATTACTGTTTTATCCTTGATATCCTGCCATTAAAAATATTTATATGTATTTCTCCAAAGTAAACAGTTCCTCATTCTGGTCTGATCACACCAAAGCAGCACAAGCCCACACCCCAATACCTACTCTGTGCAGATTAATCATTAACACACTCTGCTTGCTCATACACACAAGTTTTGTCTTTGAATTCAATATCCAAGTTCCAGAGAGTGAAAGGAATAACACAAACCATCACTGCAATGTGACTGGCTGCTTGTGGGGTTTTTGGGGGTGGTTAATACTCAGAAAGAGAGATTACCAACCACAGAAATGCAAAAGTTAACTATTCAAAGGGCTTTTACCGGAGGATCGACCCTGCAGCAATCGATGCATCGGCGGTCGATTTAGCGGGTCTAGTGAAGACCCGCTAAATCGACCGCCAATCGCTCTCCCGTCGACTCCTGTACTCCACCTGCTAGAGAAGAGTAAGGGAAGTCAACGGGAGAGTGTCTCCCGTCGACGTTGCGTAGTGTGGCCCCCACTGTAAGTAGATCTAAGCTAGGTCGATTTGAGTTATGCTATTCACGTAACTCAAATTGTGTAGCTTAGATCGACTTTTCCCTTTAGCGTAGACAAGGCCAAAGACTCTTAATTCAGGTACAATAGATAAAAAGTATGCCTAATACAAACATCATCATTGCACTCATCTCCTTAGTATCTGAGCACTTCACAAATAATTACATAAACCTGACAAGACCCTTGGCAAGGTAGAGCAGCATTATTTTCCCATTTACCAATGGCAAGACTAAGGCACAAAACAATTTACTGACTTGTCCCTAATCTTACAGGAAGCCTGTGGCAGAGCCAGAATAGTACAGAACCCAGCTTTTCTGACTCCTAACCCCATGCTCCTCCTACCCATTGATTGTTTAAAAGATACTACTGTGCACATGCATTAGTCAGCCTAAAATGCCATAAAAGCATATTTTTAAAAAAAGAGTGAGCAGAAAGAACAACACTTCATTTCTAGTTCTGTGGACTTTACCTCTAGAAGTTCATCCTCCAGTTGCAGTAGGCCAAGCATAGCAATTGGACCATCTGGAGCAATTGAAGATATGTAGTGATGTCCATCAAATGTATCAAGTTCAACTCCTAATCTCAAAGTGTGGAGAGGCAATAGCTGGAAAAAATAAGCAGTGCCTATGTTTACAAACATGTATTCCTATATGTAACAAATGCATTCAACTTTCAATAACTGACCAATTCAAATTAAACTAGCTGCACATTAGCATATTTAAATCCTAACTGACATAACTAGTGTTACATCACACAAAATTTTGTTAATTTTTCTATTCAGTTAGATTGCTGTTTTTTCCTTGCACAGTCTCATTTGGAAAAACGTACATCACTATCTTCTTCTCAAAAATATCACTACAGTGATAAACTGGAAAAAAAAAAAAAAACAGAAGCGAGGTGGATGTATAAGACTGCCCCTAAAAAGAGCACCTGACATCTATCCTCTGTCTAAAACTTGAGTTACTCTCCACTAAAGGCATGTCCAAAAGAGGAAGATCTTACTTGTGACAGCTTCAGGGTAAAGGCACCTGTATTCCCCCTCCATGGTTAATCAAGGGCACTCTCTTTAGGCTTACAGCTCCCAGTCATCACCTCTCTTAGGCAGAGACCCATGTCCCACTCCCTCTTGATCAGGGATTTTAAGGCTATACAGCTCCTTGCCTTCCACTGTGATATGCCCAGCAAGTCAGATTGCCTAAAAAGGCTAGCGTCTGTGCTTTGCTTTCTACGGACAGTTTACTGCCCAAAGTTGTAAGTCACCATACAACTTCTAAGCGACCACATTTATCCATAAGGTAAAAGCATTACAGAGAAAACATTAAAAACAATAAAAGTTCGTACACATATGCTAAAAAAATTATGAGGTCACCCAACTCCAGCCTAGAGCTCTGATAGGTTTTAGTCCTTCAAAACCAACCACTGGGTTTCCCCTGATACAAGTTCATATCTGTTTTGAATCCAGAACCAAAATCCAGGCTGGGTAGATCTGCTATTTCTTTATACAGCTTGGCCCTTTGGTCTTGGCACTCCATAACAGGTACTCAGCAGACAAGACCCTTGCCTCAGAGCATAGCTTCATAACTCTAGGTTTTTGCATAACCAGAGTTGGAGAATTTGCATTAACCTCTCCTAAGGTATTCCCCAGGAAATCCATGTAACATTTATTGTCCCAAAAGTCTATACTTGTCTGACATATTTTCAGTACAGTCTTTTGAACTTCCAGGTTTTATGTCAGTCACATCTCTCCCCCTAAAGAGATGACATACAATCCCAGTCCACAATAGTACATAAACTTAATAAAGTCTTTCAAGGGTATTGCAGGAAATTGCCACATCTGTCACAGGATCATAATCACTATTTTAGAGAAAGCCAATAAAACCTAACCATACAATCAGTCATCTCATTTCTTGATGACATTTCTATCAGTCTTTGGGGCAGGGAACATCTCTCTGAAGCATCTTTTGCAAATAGTTGCTATCACTTGTATCCATATTTCCACAAGAAATTTCATTGATTTTGTGCTGGCCATTTTCCTAGGGACAACCTCAATACTGTATTCCTCTCTAGTAAAACTCCACATAGCAAATATCTGTGACCATTAGGAAAACTTTCTGAGCAGGCTAGCTGAGGCTCAATCCAGACAAGCTAGCAGGCTGTGAAGAAACAAAGAAGATATTATCTCTGCTATCTGTTCCCTTGATTTAGGAACTTTGCCTGCCTTCTATCACTCAAGTTCACAACTTGGTGATCTTGCTGGTACCCAGCTGCTTCTGGACAGATGCCCATTTAGGCTCTGATACTGCAGTCAATGTGACTCCGTACAGTAGTAAGAGTCCATACTTGCAAATCCCTTATGGCATTAGGCCCTTACCTAGCAAAAAGTTTCTTGTAGTCAGTGTGACACTCTGCTCCATAGTCTGCACTGGTTTCCAGGTATTATTCAAGGTGCCACTCTTGCTTCTCTCCAACTCCTATCCCAATAGCTGGCATCAGCTAAAGCACTGAGCCAGCAGCCCCCAGATTTAGAAGTGAGGGGCCCTAGATTCTTGAAAGTCATGCTCCCCACTTGCCCGACAGAGTCTGAGGAGATTTAGGACACTCTACATGGTCTATTTTCCTATGTGGGGTTTTTTGGTTTTGGGTTTTTCTTCTTTCAGAAAAGGCGTGTGAAGGAATTCAGACCCAGTATACTTAAGCAGCATTGGCAGCAAGTGGCAGTATTTCTCCAAGAGGTGAGCTACAGCCAATGCTGGAACTCCCCCATATTTCAGAAGTATTCATCTCTAGGGTTTTGGTTCATGCCCATCTCAAAAAAAGAGAAAATGAAATAAGATTCCATACCTTTGAGTATTTCTGGAGCTCAGCATCATCTGTAATTGGCATGTCCACACGAACCACCTAAAAATTGTACACCATGACAATTAAATACTACTAGTATACAAACTTTAATAGAGTGCTGAATTATAGTAAAGGACTGATTATAAGAACAGCCGACAGTAAAATAAGGGGACAAGAAAAAAAATTATGCTTTTTAATTCATGTCTTGGTCCACTTTGGTGCCTTAGAGTTATCACCACAAGCTATCAAAATCACATAGCCGGTGACTGGATCTAAATTCCACACTTAGTAACCAGCCCCTCACCTCAGAAAGTCTTGGTGGCTGATAAAGTGATCAGAAAGGGCTCAATCCTTCAAACTCTTAGTAGTCCTATAGATTTAAATGGAGCTGTGTGTGGCTGTAAGGACAATGTAAGGGTTTATATTATCAGACTCAAACCAAACTGTGCGTCATGGTAAAGCGAGGTGTTGCAAAATGGAAAAGAGGCATATGCAAAGGAAGAAAACAAAAAGACTTTGAAAAAGGTGCTGGTCAACCATGATCTTTTATTATTCAGATGGGCCAAATTTTGACATTTTCACCATCACAACCACATTTGCTACAATGAAAGGAAAATTTGGCCCACTGAGCTTCATGAATCAGCTTTACTTCCCATACATATATTGGAAAATGGGATGGTGCTAAAGAAAGTAATGTCAGGCTCTGGCAGTGCAAGGATGGGGATATCTAGCAGTTGGCATGGGTAACTAGAGTTATTGAATCAAAACACAGGCTTATATGGACTTCAAAGTTCTTAAAGGAGTACTAATGGATTGCAGAGAAGGAACCTCCTCAAGACACCTCTTAATGCTACTTTAAATCTTCCAGCAAGACATTTGGAGTGATAGTTCTGCCAAACAGTAAAAATAAGAGTCTCTGAATCAAGTGGACATGTATTGCAAAGATAAACCGTTTTTTTAAGGTCATCAGAAAAGGATGTTGGCTTGAATGCTTTATTTTAAAACGCACTCAGTTAGCAGTCTTAAAAAGCAGTAATGAATACAAAAAAACCCTGGTCATTCCCCCTGTAATGACTCGTATTTAGAAATGTAATCAATCTCTTCCTTGACAATTCTCTAATAAGACGTGAAGAAAAATCTAAAGGGCAGTTAGCACCACAAAGTTACCCCTACCTAACTTGAACTACTTCCTTTTCTCCCAAATACTTTTGATAATCATTCTTCTAATAAAAATGTAAGATTCATTATGAAACATACGACTCATATCCTGAGCCTTTTCTAAGTGTACAATAAAACAAACAGATCATAAAAACAATCATAAAAATGCCAAATATTTTAAGTGGCTGATATGTTACAAATTTTAAAATGAGGTTGATTTAAAAAAAAAAAAAAAACATTACTCACACTTACGCAATAGTACAGACATAAACAGAACAAAAATGTGTTAATTATAACATCCCTATATTTCATCCTTGAATCTTCAGGGAAAACAAAAAATGCTACTCTACTGATCTGTTCCAACCCCTGAGCAGCTTGTAAAGTTAAGCTCACAGCATTGTAATTTAAAGAAACATAAATGAGTGTACTTTATTGAAGGATAACATACCATGACTTCATAATCAGGTCCCAGCAGTTTTCCCCATTTGGATTTCAACTCCTTTTCTGGAGAGTCTGGGTCTCTTCCTAAAATATAAAAGTGAATGTTAAATTTACTAAACCCTGCCAAGTACATTTACTTCAATAAAGATGCAGCGTAAATAAAATATTATGGAGAATGATCAGAAGAATAAAAATACATTAATTTGGGTCTATCAAGCAGTGCAAATCAGAATAGACTTTTGCAAGAAAACAATGCAAATGTCAGCTACTGCTGAAGTGAAATTTATTCAGTTGAGAAGCATAAAAGGTAATGGTTGCTTTGATGAGATGTGAGTTCTGTACCGTTTAATACCGTAAATAAATCACTCTTTTAGGTTGCAAAGCAAATTTCACATGGCTTTATAATTTGTTGCTGTTTAAACATTCACCACTACAGAGCAGTGCTACCCCCCTTCCCACACCAACCCCTTTTGAGAAGTAAACACCTGACAAGACATTGCCGTTATCAAGGGACTGCATCAGCACAATGCAGCGGCAGACTTTATTTATACATTTGGCAGGTATAAAGGCTTGTCTGGTTTAATTAGGCCAGTGAGTAACATGAGCTTTAATATAAGCTCCAGTTCTAAACCAGTCTTCCGTGGGAACTTGGCTATCTTGACATTTATATCTTTTCAGCTTTCTTACTTATGCAACCAAGGCAGTATTATAGTCATGTAAGACAATTTGACAGGGCTAGACAGCATAAAATGACTGGCTGCCCTGCATTTGACCTCATCCAGAAGCTCAGCACACATATAAAGTTCCTAGCCTAAGTAATGTTGAGCTGGTAAGAGTCAAACTCTAAAGCAAAATTCCAACTAGCAGCAGCAACTGGAGAATGAATTTACTGAAAACTATTTTTAAATGGCCATAATATTGTCACAAGTCTGGACAAATAACAGAACACTGGTATCACTGACATGTCATCTTACCGGAATCGGAATGCAAATCACAACAGCAGCCCTTTTCAGTCTTTAAGTGCGTGCATGTCATTTTGAATGTTGAATGTTTTGTTAAACCGTTAAACAAAATACCTTAGGAGTTGGAAGCGTAACTCCCATTAAAAGTCAAGAGGAATTGGGTGCCTTTGAAAATCTCCCCTTCACTTTTCAATATTAGAGGATAGAACTAACAAATCAGACTTGCAGCACAATCCTCATTACATCGCTTTATTACTTGGAATTGTAAGCTATTCAATTATTTCAGTAACAATGGAAGAATCAAATGGCAACAGTTAAAAACAAAGGCTCAGAGTTATTTGCATTACAATGCAACACCCCCAAGAGATCAGGTCTCTATGCTAATTATTTTTCCCTCCCAATGTTGAGCCCCATGTAGCTTTAGATCCCTACCAACCACTTTCTGTCACAGCAGACAGCCAAGTTTACCTCAGCTGCCTAACCAGAATTTCTCTGTATAGAACCAAGCAGCTCAGATTCCAATTTGAAGTCTCCATTGTACATATATATCTGACCTCAGACTCAAGAGATGCAAGCACAGAAGGATTTCAGGTCAGATTTAGTCAGATCATTGTTTCTTTATTGAACTATATCAAGAATTAAGCCTGCAATAGATTCTTTAGAGATAGGCTTCTGTAGTTACACTATAGATTCGTCAAACACTCTGTCTTTTTTAACTGGGTCTACATTGAAGTCTCCTGAATTCATGAAATATGGGATAAGTATTGTTCTCTTTAACTATTAAATGTAGGTTTCTGTCAATAAATGCTCTTCTTTAGCCCCACTTTGCTTCATTATCAGGTACAGACTGAGCACTATGTTTACCTCCCAGCTGCTTCAAGCATGAACCATAATTCCACAAAAATATTCACTTATTATCATGCATCTTTTATCAAACAAATGCCTACCCTTGCCAATGTGCATGGACATCCAGACAATCCTTCCAACTCAGAGGAATACCAAGGAGTGTCATCAGAGTTCCTGCTCCAGTCCACCCCCTAGGCCCTGGGCTGGGCCCCAGCATTCATCTGCACCTCTGCTCTACTCCATCCAGGTATTTTCCTACCCCAGTTCCAGTCATAAGAGGCTCAGCCGTCTGGCAGAGCCCCAACTAGTTTGCCATTTCCAGGTTTGTCAATGAACAAAGAGAATTAACACAAATGAACTATTCCACAACTGTGGTAAAGCTCTCTTTCTTCAGAAACCCTTGTCAAGTTGTGGCCCCCAACTAAGTTGGCAGGCAAATACAGAGGAATAGTGCTCTCAAAAGGTGAAGCAGGCCCTTCCATCCTTCAGAGTGGGACTACCAGGCTGTGGCCATCCAAGAAGCTCCTGTCTGCCCTCAACTGAGCTGCGCTTCCCCATTTTGAGCTCCTCCCTCCATGTCTGACATCTCTCACAGGTGTGGGGGGGGGAGCCACTTGAGCCCACATCAGCTCATTAACCCTATAATGTTGCCCAATGTGTGGTTTGTATACCCCATCACACCCCGTCCACTTCAAGATGGCATCAGAGGAACCAGGCCAACTGTCTATGCCCTCTGTCCCTCAGGGAAAAAACAAAAACACAAATCTTTTGGTGAGCCTTTCCAGCTCTATGCTGTACTTGAAAGGCATATGACTAAAGAGACGGGTAGGGATTCATGCATAAGGCAGGGATTCATGTCTTTCACTGCAATTAACCACCTCAAAGGGGCACCATCAGTGTCCAGCTTCAATGGGTTTCCCAGGATGTAATATCAGAGAGACTCCACAGCCCATTTCACCACCAGGGTTTCTTTTTCTATCACAGAACATGCTAGTTCCCAAGGGAATAGCTTGTGGCTAAAAAATAGCATGGAATGTTTCTCTCCATTTACTTCTTGGGATATGATTGCCCCCCAGGCCTACTTCCGACACATTGGTCTGCAAAATAAGTTCTTTCGAAAACAGAGCAGGGTGTTTTCTGTTTCGGGTGAACTGGACAGGCTCTTTACACAAGTGGCCTTTCCATTTTTTTAATGCTTTTTTGCGGACATCAGGCTATCAAACTTTCCAGGGACAGCTATCCTTAATCAGGTCCATGAGAGGTGCCGCTATCATGGAAAACCCTAGCACAAACCGGCAGTAATAACCTGCAAGCCCTAAGCATCTCCAGACCTGTTTTTTGTGGTCGAGTTTGGGCAGGCTTTTAAGGCCTGGACTTTGTCTACAGGGATTGGACCTGACCTTTCCCCACACAATATACCAGTCAGATGATGTCATCCTTCCAATTTTACACATTGCTGGGTTTGTGGTTAGGCTGGCTTCCCACAGGGACTGGAGGACAGTGGCAACTAGTTGCAGGTGGGCTTCCCAGTCTCAGCCATAGATGACCACATCCTGTAAATAAACTGCAGCATATGAACCATGAGATCGGAGAACTTGGGTCACTAGAGAACCATGGAGGCCAAAGGGCATAGTCCTTAACGGATATAAACCAGAGCAGCAAAGGCAGTTTTCTCACATGATTCTGGTATGAGACAGATCTGCTAGTATCCCTTGGTAAAATCTAATGCTGTACTATATTGAGTCTCACCCATCTGGATTAGTAGTTCAACCACCCAGGACATAGGATATGTGTTGAATTTGGAGATCGCATTAACTTTTCTAAAAATCTATACAGAAACTGGATCATGCCATCCAGTTTAGGGACCAGGACAACTGGGTGTCATCAGTCGCTGTGGGATTCTTCAGTGACCTCTAGCTCCAACCTGGTGCAGAGCTCCTGTTTCACTGCATCCCACATTTTTTTGGGAAGCGGTAGGGAGTTCTCCCAGGTGCATTGTCCCCGCTCTGTGTGGACATGATGTTGAACAAAGTGAGTTCATCCTGGCTGGGGTGGAAACCCCATCAGGAAGGCATTCATAAGGTTACTCACTTGGCTCAGATGGATAAGAAGTGATAAACAAGCCCTCCCGGTCCTTCCAGGCCTTCAGGAGGTTACTTTGGTAGATCTGCATTGTCTTCCTCTTGTCTGATTTCATAATTAACAGGCCCCACTTGATGTAATACTTAATATGGACCTTAATGCTTAGTAAGCAGCTTGGACATTGTGCTAGGGAGCAGAAGTACCCAGGTTTAAATACACACATATGCGTCCCTTTGTTAAAGGCTCACTATTGGGCCAGTTGAGCACTTAAAGAGATTCTCTTCAGTGAAAGCCCCCAGGATTTCAAGCCTCTCCTAGAGCTTTAGTATGTACTGTACAACATTCTCTGTTCTAGGAGCCCGCTCATCCCACATCTCATGGACAAAGTCTAAGATACCCCAGGTAGTCTCTCATATAAAAGAGTTCAAACAGGAAAAATCTAGTAGATGACTGGGGTACCTCCGAACTATCAAATAAAAAGGAGGGGGATCAGTTGATCCCCGTGTCTAGGATATGCAGAAATAAACTTCTTTAAACATGCTTTTCAGGTCTGGTTGAACCATTTGGCCAAACCATCCGTCTGCAGGTGATTGATGCACGTTTGTAGGGTCTTTATTTTTAATAGTTCACAAGTCTCCTTCAACAGATGGGACACAAAATTAGTGCCTCAGTTGGTTAGGATTTCTTTAGGCACACTGATGCGGGCAAAGACCATTAGAAGTTCTGCTGCAATAGTCTTTGCACTGGAGCAGTGCCATGGGACTGCTTCCAGATATCAGGTGGCATAATCAGGTCTGACCACTATACATTTATAACCAGATGCACTCTTTTCTCAGAGTCTGAGCAGATCCATCCCGATTCTCTCAAATGGGAATGGGACTAGTAGGGCTTTGGTCACCCCTCTTTAGGCCCAATGAGCTGCCACTTGGGATATAAGCTACAGAAGTCTTTGACTTCTTGGTGAATTCCGGGTCAGTGGAAGCAGCCTAGAATCCTGGCCACAGTCTCCTCATGCTGAGGTGGCCTGCAGTGGAGGCAGCATGAACCAGCCACATGAACTTGCACTGATGAGACTGGGGAACGAGGAACTGCGATCAAATTTCACGAGTCGGTCGGTCGGTCTCTCCTGCTAGTATAGTCGCTCAGGCCGGAGCTTAAATTGTGGGTACTGCTCTGCTCGATGTGGGTCTATTACCTCTCGGTTGTCCACTGACACCTGGTCATAGGCCTAGATGAAGGTCTCATCCTCCCTCTGATCTCTGGCCAAGTTGGTCCCTCTAGTTAGGATGCCCCAGTCCTACTGGGGCACTGGCATCATTTCGTCACTATGTGGGGCTTCTGAGGGAGCATCCTCTTGTCCAGACACCCCAACTCCAGGGTGTAGCGCCTCACCTATAGCTACCAACACCCCAGGGACTGGATCTCCTGAGTTAGCCTCTCTGGGCAATCCAGGGCTGTCTTAACTCCACTCAGTAACTCAGAGAAATACTCCCAATCTTGTCCTCAGATAATGGAGTAGGTCACCATTGAGGCCAGCCCTGCTAACAGGGGCCTCCTGTGTTCCCCTACAGTCAACTGCATCCACGCATTAGGATAGGGTTTAACCTCCCCATGGACACCCGGTAAGAAAATAATTCCCCCACCCCCGTCTCAGGATTCAGGATCAGGTGGTCCCAAACCAGGGTCTGACCACACCCAGAATCTACCAGACTTGTCACCTCTGTCCTGATTATCCAGATAGGGACAGTTAGTTTAGCCAGAGTTTGCTTACAGACGTATGGTCCCTTCTGGCTTTATAAAATATGAATCTATGAACTCCCTTTTTCTGTTACAAAATTATGGCCTGAACCTGAAAAGGGTTGAACATCTGAAACTCCCAGTGGAGTCCGATATGCACTTCTATGACCACCATGAATGCTCACTCAGCACCTCTCAGGATCAGGCTCTTAATGTGTTCAGTTAACTGAAAATTAAGACCATTCCCCCACACCCAAAACAATCCCTAAATTCACATGTCCATATTTGATGTTTTGGGGCTCAGCCCATTAAAGAGAACTTCCTGAAAATTGAAAAGATTTTTGGATCTATAGGTTTGGTTCAAGAATATCTCATTCCAGTGCCTCCACCCAGTACCATGAGATTCCTTCCCCCCCACCCCCAATTTTTTGGTCACTTCTCTGGGTTGGTTTTTCATGGTTTGTGGTACATGCTATATTACACAAGGCCTCAGAAATGGAATTGTTTCCCAGCAATGGTTTGCATTAGCAGTAACATTCTATATCTTCAGAACTTTGCCTCTTTACTCTTTGCTTTCATGTAGTTTTTCTTCCCCACCTTACTAGCATTGGGTTCCTGGAATACAATGCCTTTTTTGAGGTGTGTTTAAACTACAGAGACTTTACCAGCATAGCTCTGTTGGTATAACCCCGTAGCATAGACATAGCCTACACCGATGATAGGGGTTTTTCCATTGGTGTAGGAACACCACCTCCCCAACCAAAGTTAGCTCTGTCGACAGAAACATTCTTCTGTCAACATAGCTGCTCCTACACTGGAGGCAGGTTGACATAGCTATGTTGATCAAGGGTGCGTTTTTCTCAGCCCTCCGACCAATGTAAGTATGCCAGCCTAACTTTTAAGTGTAGACTAAGATCCCTGGAACTTTCAAACGCTGACCTTTTTCTTTGTCTTGAAGATCTCCCCTTCTCACAGGCTCACTATGTAGCGATGTGTCCTTCGCTTTGGATTAAAGATTTCTCAAACAGCAAAGCTTTTTGATTTCTCCAATAGCTTTTTCCTCCCTAATGTTACACGCTGTTCTCTATCCAGGTCTGGATTCATAACTTTCTGACTAAACAACTAGCTTCTCTCTTCAGGTTTTATATACTGCTGCACGAAACAAACAAGCACTCTCGTCCAGTCTTCACTCTTACTGATGCAGCTGTAAGTTAATTGCCTCTCTAGTCTGCTAGCAGAAAGTTTAAGGCCCCATGCACACGGTTTCCTGAACCATGTATCATGACAGAGTTGTTTAAACATGGTTTAGCGGGCCAGCATCACTATTTAATACCTCTTCAGGAAAATTTAATAAAAATTTAGTCCAATTGGGCCTAAAGGAAAATAGTTCATGTTTTATAAAACACACCTTTTACATTAACTTTTAAAAGGCACTTCCAGAATTTAGGCAGGGCCTTAAATTAGCAGTGTTTACTTTAGCCCCATTATAATTAAGAGCCTGTCAGCATTTCCAAAATAAGCACCCATTTTTGGAATTTAAACTGGCCATTAAATTCTGTTCCAGGCTGAAATTTTATACACAATGTTTCAGTCTGAACAAAGTTTCCAACTAAATGAATGCTTTTAAATTTTAGGCAAGCAAAAAAGATACAAGGTTATGAAAAAGCACGTTGTAGCTGATAAATGTGAGTATCTTGAGCCTTTTTAATTTTATAAGGAAATTGAGTCCTACCAAACATGGACTCTTGATTAGGGCTGTAGGACATTATATACCACAGATAGCTTTACCCAGCTTTTAAACCATTCCGATGTCATTAGTCTGCAGAAGTCAAAAGAGCAACAGTACTCATAAACCCAGCATCACCAGTACTCACAAACCCAGCATCATCAGATTAACTGCATTATATCCTGTCTGAAATATCAATAATGCCTACACTGCTTAAATTCCAGCACACTGAGCTGAGAGACTACAGATGAGCCTTTGTACAGAAGTACTTACTGAAAAGAAATGGATAAAGAGAGGCACTACCCCGTTCAGTCTTCTATCTGCAACTCTCACTCTGGCTTCTCCCTCATGGATGTCCTGCCACCACCTCAAGCTCAGTATGGCAAAACCTCCACTCATCTTTCTTCAAATAAACCTCCCTCTCTCCTCCATTATTTTAACAACTCTATCACCTTCCCTGTCCCTTGGCATCATCGATTCCTCTTCCTCTACATAAGCAGAGTCGCTAAATGCTCGTTTTCCCCTCTAGCATAACCAGAAATGCATCTGTGCCTTTTCATTCCCACCACTGAAAAACTTCACGGTTTACTGCCTCATGTCTTAGATTTTGGTTTCAGTTAAATAAAAAAGCATTGAAGAGCAGAAAATTAAAATTGTGCAAGGAAAAGGAAGCCAAACTGTCCCATCATTATGAAAATTGGGTTAAAGAAATGAATTTCAAGAAGTCAGTAGATATACAGGAGAGAACACACTGCAAGATGTTTTACCTACCTATTTTGTGTAGATTTTGCTTCTTTTCATTTTCAAAATTATCTTTGTCCTCTTGATCCTCCTCATTCTCACTATCCAAATTAGTTTCCGTCTCTACAGCTCCAGACAGGACTAAGGCTGGCATATTTGGCTGCTCTGTAAAGATCCAAAAAACTTTCAAGTCAGCCAGGTAGTACAGAGGATACATGATATGCTAACCAATATCCACTAGCAGCTTCCTTGTTCAGTTTACAGGAACTTTGCTCTCAACTCCACTCCCCACACACCCTTACATCCTATGTCGAAGGGTCTGATTCTGTGCAGAGGACTCTTAAGCCCAAGATTTATGGTTGCCCAGCACCTCACAGAAACAGGCCCTAAACGTTTATTTTGGTCATTATAAATTGGAAGAACAATTAAATGAACCATTGGCAAAGGGAGGAAAAGGACTACCTCTCTCTAAAGATCTTCCTGAAGAGAAAGAAGCATGAGCAGGTTTCTGTCGAAGCAAGGTAAGGTGCACCACCTGGCCAGTGCGACGCAGCGCCTCCACCACTTCTTGGTTGGAGCAATCCTGAACATTAATCCCATCAACCTAGTACAGAAACACCATCTGATTATAGACATCAGATTACAGTTGAGTTCTAACATTCACAGAGATATGTAAACCAACAGTGCAACTCATCTCTCACAGTTATACTGATGGCCCTCACAGACTGCAATGGTTGCAAAAGAAGAATTGCATTCATTCAGCTACTTCAGAATAATCAGATAAATGCCATCTTCAAAGTTTCTTCTTAAAAGAAAATACAAAATAAAAACTTCTCCTCGATAGCAGGCGTGGGCAAATACAAACTAGCAATTTACTAGATTTACAGAAATGTAAAATACGTTTGCTTTTCAGCAGAGATACTGTGTGCAGACAGCAGCTTGCACAGTACTGTGCATGGAGCTTCCTGGATGAGTTTGAGAGATTAACAGTCTGTTCAGATCATAGCATAAGTTTTCTGCCAACCTCTACCAAGCCTCCACACATAAACATGCAGATAACCATGTACGCAATCAGTGCATAATAGTAAAAAAAAAAAAAAAAAAAAAAAAAAAAAATAAGCTGGACAACACAGTCCCCAAATGAGAAGTGGGTAAACTCTATTGACCCTTGACTAGACTATGCACACACCAAACTGCAGCTGTAAGTACAAGTGGGACCCAAATGAGGGAGAGGCCAGGCGTTGAAAGTTTAGGCATTGGATCTGCAGAACATTTGCTCCCAAATATTTTATATGCACTTTGTAAAAGTCAGATCTCTAAAGACTTCTTATCATGAAAAGAGAGTTACTCCCACTTGTATTACCAATGCAAAGTTAGCCATTACACGGTAACGTGGCCCTGACATTTATCCAGCAGGTTTTTAATTTTTTCACCTATAAAGAAAAGGATTTTTTTTTTAAAAACATCTGCGTTACTAATATTTTGATGATGTCAACCCAATGTTAAATACTTATAGATGGGCATAAAGGACACAATTCTGCAAGGTATCGAGCACCTTCAAATCCCACTAACTTTAACAGGAGCTGAAGATGCTCAGTTAGGGTGACCAGATGAGGGGAAGAAAATATCGGGACACATGGGGTGGGGAGGGAGGGAGAGGAAGGGGCCGCCGGCTGAGCAAAAAAAACAAAAACAAAAAAAACCCAACACAGTGCTGCTGGCTGATATTGGGACAAAATGCGTCCCGACCAAAGATCGGTCGGGACGCGGGACAGAGACCGAAATATCGGGACAGTCCCAATTATATCGGGACGTCTGGTCACCCTATGCTCAGTACTTTAATCAGGCCCTAAGTCAAGATCCCTGCTCTAAGATGCTTCAATCCAAACATCTATCCTGTTTTACTATTTACGATTCTCTCACATTTTTGGTAGTACACTAATAATCTAACCACTGCAAACCAGAGCTATTAGCTCAAATAGTAATTCTTGTTGACAGTCATAAATTTGCCAACGTTCCTCCCTTTTACAACCTGGAGGTGCTTTAGTGTGAATGAAGAACAAGCTTTAGTAGAGTGTGTTTTAAAAATCCAGATATATGTAAAATAACCGCTAGTTCCAAAATTGATCCAATGAAATATTTCACTTACAGCAACAATTTTGTCCTGGACTTGTATAAGGCCACTGTGATCTGCAGCACTGCCAGGTATTATATTTTTCACAAAGATCCCTGAAGAATCTGCTTTAAAATATAAAACAAAAACAAATGAATGAATAAATAAAAGAAAGTACTAATTTGGGCCTTTTCTTAAGCACACATTTATTTAGAGCTTAAGAACCATGCACCTCTGGAGGCCTGGGTCCACGAGTGGAATGAAGTTGCATCTCCTCCTAGTCACAAATGAACATTGAAATCACAACACTCACATAATTTAGTAGTTATGCATGATTCCAAATCTGCACTCTAGAGAAGAGCAGCAATGCAAGCACCCTTATACTGCCCTAATTGATTTACCCTGCTCAGAAAAGTCCCTTTCTATGATAGGTCAGTTTCCATGCCTATACAGGCTTTGATCCACCAAATCACTTACATATGATAAATTTGACTTCAAGGGGAGTATTTATGCTTAGAAGTGAAGCATGTGCTTAAGTGCTTTGCTGGATCAAGGCCTCGCTCATCCTCTTACATTTAGTTTTAGCAATTCAATAATTTAAATCAGACAAATCCCTTGTGAAAAATCTCACACAAATGCACTTTTCTATTGTATAAATATATTTTGTAAGGGGATATGTAGAAATCACAAAAAGCTTTCCTTCTTTCTCACGTGTAGAGTTGGACAAAAGCACTCTGTGCACCCGTAGTTACGTACAGATATTTTGGTGTGCTCCCAGAGCTCAGACACTAGTGCAAAGTATGAAATAGCTATCTGCTGAAAAAGAATCACCTTGTGAAGATGGCACACACATTAAACACTGTTGAGATGCTTACAGTCCCGCACTGGCAGAGAGATGGACTGGATAATCTAATAGGTCTTTAAATCTCAGACATCGAACTCATTAAAGAAATGAAAGTGCATGTTGAGCTATGTGGCATGTATCAAAGAATTCAGCAAAAACATAAGGCAAGTCTGGGCATTTGATAAACCTCTGCTCTAATCTTTCATAATCAATCAGTGTATAAACTCACCCACATCAGATGTTCCAGTATATCCAATAATTGTTATACCAAGGCTTTGTCCATCTTTTTTTGTAAGCTCCACATCATAGGTATCAAAAAGAGGGGTGTTAGCCTAGAAATAAAATATTATACAGTTTATAAAACTGAATGTCCACATTACAGTAAAAAAAAAAGTTTGTTATATCACTAACATTTTAAACTACAGGCTAAGGTTTGAAGACGTGACCAGTGATTTTGGTAGACCAACTTCAGACACCTCAAAAGGGGGTCTCACTTCCAGAGGCTAGAAAATAAAGCTGTCAATTTGGGAACCCAAAATTACTAGTCACTTTTGAAAATCTTGGCTATATAATATATACGGTATCAGAAACAAGTATCTATAAAAACATAAGATATTCATATACATCCAAGGGGCCATGCTTATCACAGTACCTAATGCCACACAGTAAGTGCTTTGGAAAGTCTCTATTGGTTAATTAGGAATAGAGAATTGCTTCAGGTACATGACATCATGACACCATGCCAGTGGAAGAGAGAAAATACTTGGCTCTCAGTCCCCTGGCTTTATCAAAAATTATTTTTCTCTTGGACCCTATTAATGGAAAGTATTTGGATTCCTGACAATTATTAAAGAAACCACACACTTGTCCTCTTTAGTGTAAAACATGCTCATGAGCTCCTTCGGACAGAGATTGTTATATTCCTATGTTTGGAAAGCACCCAACATACTGTGGGTGCTACCAGAAAAAAACAACGATATGCACTTTTTGGTAATTATATCCAACAAATGCATATAGCACATTTTAAAATATGGTGTTCAAGATAAAGCTAGGTGTGCAAGACACCATTTTATTTTATATCAATCATATGCATATCTACTTAATTACATTTAAGGGCAAGTTTGAAACGATTACTATCCTGATTTGAACTGGACTGGACTGCACAGAGAAGTGGAAGCTTCAAAGGACTTGTTTAGAAGGTGAAGTGATAACAGGAAGTCAAAGCCACGTTAAAAATCACTTCCACTGAGCACAAGTTAAATCATGCGAGCGGGGAGAAAATCTGGAGAATTTTTTTAAAAGCTTTACAGCTTAAAAAAAAAAGATGAGACCATTCATCGTAACAAGGGAAACTAGAACAGAGAAGAATGGAATAGTACATAATTTGGCACTATCTTTTGGCTTCTGAATCATCTGTTCAATGTTTTCTTAGATAAATAGCTACAATCTAATAAGGTATTCAGACATGGTCTGATCTGAGGAGAAATTTACGGATAGGTCCCCTGAAGCTGGCCCTCACCATCCCCCATTTTGGATTTGCTCACTTGATCTTTGGTTGTGTTTCTCCCCACAGAGCCATTTTGACAGTCCAGGACCTTTCCTTCAAAGGCAACACCAGAAACCTTAGCGCCAGAGGCACTTCACAGAATGACTGATGCTATTTCCTAGTTCTGCAAAAATATTCATCTATGGCACGTTACTGGAAGTGGAGTAGTAGAATATGGACTTAATGGGTGGATTCTGGGACATATAGACACACAATCCCAAAGATAACAACCCATTCCCGAGCTGTGGCTAAATTGGTGGGTTGTAGCTATGTGCCTTGCACGTATGTGCCTTGCTCATGACTAACTGTATGAGATTTCCTTACATGTGTATACACAAAGGAGTGTGGATTTAGAAACTGTGGTAGAGAACTGTGGTAGCTTAATGCAAAACTAGTGGTTTAATATACAACAAACTAATTGGAAATTCAAGACATATTTCTGCTGATTTAAGCAGTAATCATAAGGCTGGAAAAATCTTGCCATTGTAAAATTCTCAGCTAGTAAAAGCCTTCTCAGAAGTCAGAGGAGAACGAGATTCTGGTAGTAAAAAGTTGCTCTCTTTCTTGTGCAGTAGATTCCTTGGTGCAAAGTGATTTTCGTGACCTGCCTTTAACAAGTACAATAAATGAAGCAGGAAAAAACACATTCACATTAGCTACCGCTGTCAATTTCTGCAAAAACTAATCTACCAGCAAATTGACCAGATACTTCTTCAATCTAAATGCCTGGGCTCTGCCAACAAAGAATGCAATAGATGTCATGACCAGAGGTGAACATAAGCCAGTACACCCCGGTACGGCGTACCGGCAAGAGCCGGTTTGCCATACTGGGGTGGCCCAGCTTCCCCAGGGGGCAATTTAAAGGGCCTGGGGCTCCCAGCAGGGGCTGGAGCCCCAGGCCCTTTAAATTGCCACCAGAGGCCCACTGCTGGAGCCCTGGGGTAGGGCTGTGGGACTCTGGGGGCTATTTAAAAAGTCCAGGGCTCCCGCTGCTTCTACTGCCCCGGCCCTTTAAATAGCCGCCGGAGCCCCACCGCCACTACTCCAGGGCTCCGGCGGCTATTTAAAGGGCCGGGGCAGTAGAAGCAGGGGAGCCCCAGGCCCTTTAAATACCCCCCGGAAACCTGTGCTGCTGCTGCTACCCTGGTGGGGGGGGGCACTTACCTTACAGGGTGGGCTGGGGCTGGCTCTGACTCCCTCAGCCACGCCCCTTCGGCCCTAGGCCCCGCCCCTTCCGGGGGCCAGAGCTGGCCCCAGCATACCGGTAAGTCACTGGACTTACTTTCACCCCTGGTCACAACTAGCAATATGTGAGCTTATTTCTAGATGTCTCAGAAACCTGAAGGACCCTGGAAAGGGGTGGGAAAAACAGTACAAAACTAACACCAGAAAGGAGGACATTTTAGAAGGCTTGCAGCAGCTAGAGCATGCAGGATGCTGCAGCCTGATCTATGGCACACATATACTGCTGAACAAGTCAATTTGCAAGGTCAGTCTCTAAAGCAGGAAATGTGAAAATAATATGTGCTAGGGAAGGAAAAGTTAAGGCTGTATATATAGTCTTAGAAAATGTGACAGAGCCAGCAAATGGTTTTATGTGGCTATATAGATTCTTTATGAAATGCCTGTTTTCAGAGCACTAAACATGTTCCTCTTTCAAGACACCAAGCTTAAAGTACTCAGGATGACATTTATTTAACCAATGTTTTCTTGGCTGCATCAATATCTTCTGAAGGGGTGGAAAATTCGAGAGGGCACGTGAGAAGACAGGAGGAAGTAGGAAAATTTCCATTCTCATCCACTTGGAGTGTAGGCTCTTTCCATTCCCCAGTCCTCTGCTAATACTGCAACCTCACTTCAGAGGAGGAGAACTAAACAGGTTCCCCATTATAGCTCAACATCACCTATCTTGAGCGAGACAGGTCTCTCCAGAGAGATGTGAAGTACTCTCCCCCACCAGAAGCTAAGAGATGCCTTTGGAGCAACCTGGTCCAGTGGGAAAGAGTGCAAACATAAAGTGTTTTAAAGAACAGCTCCTCTCAGATTCCAAGTTATCATCAAGAACAAGAGAAGAAAGAAAAGGCTACTCAGAGATTCCACACCTAGATCTAACTAGCGCATTAGTAGCAGATGGTGTACAAGCACAGCTTTGTTGATGTTTCCAGACCTACTGTACATGTAGTGTAACATTTGTTGATTTTAATTACTCAAAACTGAAGAGGATGACTTAAAAAAAAAAAAAAAAAAACCACCAAGCAACTTTGATATGACCAGGAGGAGATTTGCTAAAACAAGATTCAAATGTTTAAAATACATTTCCCATCAAAGAGAGTTGTGTAGACTAGGAAGATGTTACACTTATGTTTCATGAAGAGAAGTAGCTCACTGGGCTGAATAATTCTGTTCTGGTCATAGTGCATGCTGGATTTTAGGAAAGAAAATAAAAAAGTCAGCATTGTTTTTTAAATCCACTCAGATGAGCAAGAATGTAATAAGCTAGGAAGGAGATCTAAATGTTCCATTTATCGATAATGTTTATGATCCTGTTAAATCAAATCACTCACTTTGTAATAAATTCTGCAACACTGAAACTCCCCTGGTCAGTATGGCCCTGAGATAACAGGTATTTATAGTATACTGTAGAAGACTACAGAAGGCTGAGCTGATGGCTAAAATAAGGATCATTTAATACTATGGTATATTTGGAAGCTCAAATTAACAAAATATGTTGCAGTCTGTCTGAAGCTCTTTAGCACTTGTGAAGGCTGTGCTCTCTCTTTCTGGCTGTAAGCCACAGCAGAACTTATTTGAAGAATCGTGAGGAAATGTCAGATACTTACACCTTTGTCCGGAGAGAAGGGCAATGCACCAACAGGCAGGCTCAGAGGGGTTGGTGGCGTCACAGTAATCTCACATGCTGGATCTCTTGCAACCACCATCCTAACAGAATTCCCACAGTTTCTCAGCACTTGGGCAACTTGTTCACTGATCATTCCTTGTACATTGGTTCCTCCAATCTGTAAGATGTGATCTCCTGTTCTCAGTCTCCCATCCTTCAAACAGGGAACATTTAAAAAAAAAAAAAAAAAATATCAGTAACTGGACCAAAATTTTACATTGCAGAACTGAAATTGAGTAGTATGTTTTCATGGGGCAGCTAGTGCACAAAAATATCATAAGATTAATCAATGCTGCAAAATAAATAACGTAAGGCAATGCTAACACAATTAACCATTGCTTTTTCCACAGCAGTTGCCAGTTCTACAGCAAAAACACCATATAGACTGTTAGTACAATTCAATAGAAAAAGGTTAAATTTCATATTTATTGGGAAACAAATGCTGACACTGTTTTGTAATCCTGTAGTCGGAGATTTTCTCTGAGAACTATGCTATCAAATAGCAGAAGAGGATTTTAGGGATACAAAGCACAGCATTTTGATTTAGAGCTATTTGAAGAACCTGAACAGCTCAAATATTAAAAACTCAACCCTGCAGGTCTTACTCACTTGACTAGCCTTTACTCAAGTGAGTAACTCTGCTGAATGTAACGGGACTACACTAATAACTAGGAATACTCATGTTTAAAAAAAAAAAAAAGAAAAAAAGATACAGTAGGTGGATCGAGACCCACACTGTTATTTTTACTGTAAGAAAGAACCGTACTAAACATACTTAGGGCCATAGCCTCAGCTGGTGTAAATCTTCATATTTCTGTTGATTTAAGTACACTGATTTACACCAGCTGAGGACTTCGCCCATAATAACGAACATGCACGTTAATACTGGTGTTACTTCATCGAGCTTTAGCATATACATGCTCCTTATTTCACATTTTTAACTGCATCGCACCTCTTGTTTAATTGAAACTGATACAGTCATATCTTAATTTACAGCTGTCATTGGAAGCCAAAATATTTTGTTCCTCACAGCAAAAGAGGTGTTTCACAGTAAGTGAAAAAGCATTCATTACTTCAGACAGTTTTATAGAGGAGGCTCTCAAGCAACAGCCGACTTTTTCCATTCCAGCTCATCAAATATCCAGTTTTCGTTTCTGTTTTGAATTGGAAAGTGTCCTATAACCTGCCTCTTGCCTTACATTAATATTTTAAAATGCAACATGTCTTTTTTTTGCACATCTAAGGTTATGGGCAGCAGTTAGTAACTAGTCATTGGTGAGCTCTCATTGAATCCCAACCCTGTTAAATGCTTCAGTTGAGGGTAGTTGGTACTGGTCATAGAATCATAGACTTTAAGGTCAGAAGGGACCATTACGATCGTCTAGTCTGACCTCCTGCACAACGAAGGCCACAGAATCTCACCCACCCACTCCAGAATCAAACTCCTAACCTATGTCTGAGCTACTGAAGTCCTCAAATCGTGGTATAAAGATCCACCAGCAAGTGACCCATGCCCCATGCTGCAGAGGAAGGCGAAAAAACCCCAGGGCCTCTGCCAATCTGCACTGGAGGAAAATTCCTTCCTGACCTCAGCCAGACATCCAGGAAAGAATTCTCTGTAGTAACTCAGATCCCACCCCATCTAACATCCCATCACAGGCCATTGGGCATATTTACCGCTAACAGTCAAAGACCAATTAATTGCCAAAATTAGGCTATCCCATCATACCATCTCGTCCATAAACCTATCAAGCTTAGTCTTGAAGCCAGATCTGTCTTTTGCCCCCACTGATTGGGGCTGCAATCTGATCCAGACAGGTGAATCCGTGCACCTGTGTAGGTATCACGGACTTCAGTGGGGCTCTGCATAGGCCCAAGCCTCTTCATATAAAAATAAATAATCTTTATAAATAAACCATGCACTGTATCTTTGAACACATACTCATGCAACTGGGTCAGCCTTGGGGAAATGATGCCCTGGGTGAACTTGTATTTTGGCACCCCTGGCCCCTGCTGCCTCCCCGGACTCCCTACCCCCTAGCCTCTGGTGCCTCCCCAAGCTCCCCCACCACCTCATATCAAGCCTGGGCCCCCCTGCCCCCACCATTCCCCAAGCTCCCTTCCGCAGCTTTTTACCCCAGGTCCACCCCACTCCTTGCCTCCTGACTTTAGCACCCCCCGACCACTGCACCCTGGGAAGTCACCCACATCGCTCACTTATAAGGCCAGCCCTGCATGCAAGTAAGTGCCAATGACTTTAGTGGGACAACCTACATGATTAAGGATTACACATATGAGAATGTGAGTTTGCAGAGTTGACCCCTATAAAATTGTAACCAAATATACACATTCTATACAGAATCTGCATGTCTGTTAAGAGTAGCTGTCCCAACACCGATGACTAATGGTTGAAATTTTATTGAATGCTAATTATAATGCTGGGCAAGCTTTTAATATTTCTATCTGATCTGGAATGCAATAAAAGCCATGCCATGCCTGAGAAGTAATTTAGCTCAGTTCCAGTGTTGACTTTTTGTCAGTCATCATACCTTTAACATGTATTTATTTCTATATACAATATATGTATTGGCATTCAGTCTTTGATGCTATCAAACTCCTTTTGTTTACATATATTAGTTTATTTTAGGACTGTCAGAAGAAGTTATTGTACTTTAAAACCAAATAAGAAGTGACATAAAACAACAAGTTACCCGATCTGCTAATCCGCCTGGAACAATAGTCCTTACAACAACACCATTTGATTTTCCTCCTACAATTCCAAAACCTAATCCTGAGCCATCGTTAATCAGTTCAACTTCTTCAACATGGCCCCATTGAATCTGCAATTAATAGAAGAGGGAGATTTTAATTTCAGTTAATAATCAATATTTCCAGCTTTCATTTCTGCCGATAATTATTAATAATCTTATTCAGAGCAATTTCCCCACATATAACAGGAGCCATATTGAGTCTTGGTCAGTCAGTCAGTCAATGGGTTTTGCATACATTTTGCTTTTTCACTTTCGTAAGACACCATTCTGGACTACATAAAGGCAATTTTAGGATTTTTTACAATAGTAAAGACTACCATTTTAATTCCTGGTAAAGCAACCCATAGGAAGGGAAATAGCGAGAAGTCTGCATTAGCCTAGTTTTTGTTTAATATTTGACTAGTTTCCTACTTCTGTTATTTCACTTACATGCTGTATAGAGCTCCAGTACACTCTGTATGAATAGCACAATATAAATTTTTCCATACTGAATTGGAAGCGTATCACTAAGCTATTTTGCACTGCAACCTTGTGGTGTACAAGACAATTTGAGAACAACAACTCTGTTAAACAACTGAACCCCTAGCCATTTTTTCTGTCATATTAGCACCTCACATAGAAACCAAAATGAGGCAAAGCAGGCAGGTTTAAGACTTCTGTGAATAAAGGATTTATTAGCATACTGAAAATCTTGGCCAAGATCAGTTAAAAATCATAAAGGAAGTTTAAAGACCCCCCACAGAGAAATATATTTCTATTTTATTTTGTTAGTCTGTTTGATGCAAATGCTTTAATGACAAAGCAGTTAAAATTTAATTCTTTAAAATTTTCAGAGCAATAAACAATATTGATTATCCACTAAAACCTTCAAATTTCACTGGCTCTACAATATTCATGAGGGAAATAATTATCCAGTATAACAATAATCCCTCTTAAAAAGATCTCGAGCAAAGCTTCCAATATAACAAATTAAGATCCCAATATTGCAAACCCCATTCTCAGGCATGTGTGGCCCTACTACATCATCAGGGCCTGTGAGATTACATAACCGAGTATATGATAAGCCCTCACGCTCAAGAAAATTAGTGGGTTCACAATCAGTGGAGACTAGCAACATATAAAAGTTGATATGAAAAAATGGCAAACTAACCATGCAATCAAGATGTTCCCTTCACAGTGATGCATGTATGCATCACTTTATTTAAATAAGACATTGCTTTGGGGCGCTAAGGTTTTAGTAGATTGTATTCTGATCAGTGGAGACTGCTGAAAGTAAACACTGCCTACCCTCTTTTAAAGTCATAACCAGAGTCCAATTGCCCAAGGTAAAATGGTTTGCATTGGGTGAACTTGTAAATTGCCCTACCCTAAAGCTAGGTCTACACTACCCGCCTGAATCGGCGGGTAGAAATCGACCTCTCGGGGATCGAATTATCGCGTCTCGTCAGGACGCGACAATCGATCCCCGAATCGACGCTCTTACTCCACCAGCGGAGGTGGGAGTAAGCACCGTCGACGGGAAGCCGCGGAGGTCGATTTTGCCACTGTCCTTACAGCGGGGTAAGTCGGCTGCGATACGTCGAATTCAGCTACGCTATTCGCGTAGCTGAATTTGCGTATCTTAAATCGACCCCCCCCTGTAGTGAAGACGTAGCCTAAGTAGGCTCCGCTCCTGAGAATAGGTCAACCGACTAAAGCGTCAGCTCCAGGTCCCCCACAAAAAACACAGTATCTACTTTACAACAAATTCAGGCAGCTTTGCAATGGAAACATTATATTTAGGGCATGATAACTTTAAAATGAAATACCTGCATTCTTAGACACAATTAAAAAGCACATACCGTTAGCTGCTGTAAAACAAAAATAGTTAAAACTATAAAAATCCTTTCATATGTTTAAAAAGCACTAACACCTTCCAAAAACTGATTGACAGTATCATTACTCACAGTTTCAGGCGGATGTGTGTCACTTAAGACAGCTGAAGCTCCACTGTTTCTTTGGACTGACTCTCTAGCAACAACCAGATGTAAAGATCCTGTGGATTGTTGGAGCAGTGCAATAGCCTGCTGATGGGAAATATTCTGATCCAACGGGGTGTGGTTAATGGCCAGAATGTGGTCATTTTCCTTTAATCTCTGATCCCTTGATAAAAGATTAAAAGATTTTTTTTATTTTTTATTTTTTAAAAGAGATGTAACTGCATAACAGGATTTTGTCATCTAAATTGGAACATTCAGAATAGACGGTAATGCAATATTAAGTGAATTATATTAAAATTGTTAATTTATTACGTTGTCTCCACTAGCATACAAGTTATGTGCATACCACATTCTATTTAATAACCCAGCCAAATTGATTTTTGCTGCAACACTACTATGGTACATACACTTGCTAGATCTTTCAGTGTGTTCCCATTCAAAATTCAATGAAATTCTAGCTCATTCTTGATTATGCTTCATACCAGAGATATTCAATTCTTGTAGTCACACAAGGGGGCGGAGGGTAGAGAAAGAGTATTTTCCATTCCTTTTAGCACTATGCTACATTATCTCCAAGTACTTACAGCAGGACATGGCTCTCTCTCATTATTCAACCTAAAGATTGTTAAGATGTACATTTAGAGGGTACTGCGTTTCAACAGACTTTGCAATAGCCAACTTAACATACCAAAACTCAACTCCCTTAACTGGTGAAGATACATAAAAATGAGTGAATCTGCTTTCTTCTGGAAACAGAGGTACAATTTACTGCTAGCCTAAGATGGTATAACTCCTACGAAGTTAGTTCACATTATTGACGAATTTACATCTGTGATTAGAAAATCTTTAATCCTCTTCATAAAAATATTTATAAAATTATTCTTCCAGAGACCTAGACCAGATGCTTACTGGGACAGAAACAGCATCCAGAATTTTGTAGGAACCACCATTAACCTATGTCACCTTCAGACGATCTCATCTCAAAAGGAAAATGGGAAGCATTTAAGTGGAATTTAAAAATAAAACAAAACCAACAACATGGAGGTTTTTTTTGGTAAAGAAATTCCTTGAACTTTGCCCTAATGGGTGTCTGTTCAGAGATCAAGGGCATTTTATATCTCATGATCACATCGTGTCAGCAGCAGGCCAGCATGCCCTGAAGTGTAATATTCCCCTTTGACATCAAAATGAATTCACCTTTCTCCACTTTTAAACAGCTTAGTATGTTTTTCTTAAGTGTTCCTTAGTGTGCCCTCTGCATTCCAACCTCTTCCCGCGATAGGGGGGTGGGGGTGGAAGAGTAGTCTTGTGTTGGGACACTCCAGGATGAGTTCTTTTAGAAAGGACACCATCATTTTGAAGCCTAGTCACATTTTCTTTAAATGCATTAAAAGTAGTTCTAGGCATTACACTTGCCATTGGGGTGCACGCGCTTGGGGGGGGGGGGGGGGGCTCAAGTTTTGTAATTTTGCCATTTGTTTTTTAAAAGGATGTCCTGTGTCTCTATGTGACAGACCCACACAAACCACAGAGGGACCTGCCTAAAGCCCTGATCCTCCACGGAGATCTGTGCAGGAATCCTCCAGCAGGATCGGGACCGAACTTTACATGGGAAACAGTAAAACTGACTATACACAGAGTATGCACAAAGTAAAGTGAATAGAGTTCCTTCTTCTCTAATCTCTTTCAGGGACACTAATAGCACGTTCAAAAATTCAAACAGGCGTATGATTTTTAAGTTCCTTGTGTCCCTTGAATTTTCATGGGGTGGGTTAATTAATCATAGTGGCCATGCCAAGATTTTCCAAAGTGACTAGTGATTTTTGGCACCTCCATTTTTGGGTGGCCAACCTCAGCCACGTCAGAGGGCCTAACTTTCAGAAAGTGCTGAGCACATGTCCTCTGATAAAAAAAAAAATATCACGCCCCTTTAAGATGGTCCCAAAAAGGTGTGCAGCCACAAATTAAGACACCCAAACTACTAGAGAGACAAGGTGGGTGAAGTAATATCTTTTATTGGACCAACTTCTATTGGTGAGAGAGACAAGCTTTCAAACTTAAATAGAATTCTTCTTTGGGTCTGAGAAACGTACTTAGGTCTGGTCTACACTACAGACCTGCATCAGTATAACTAGGTCGCTCAGGAGTGTGAAAAATCCACACCTATTGGCGACGTAGTTACACCAATCTAACCCCCCTTATAGACAGCACCTCTCAGGGAGGTTGATTAACTATGCCGACGGGACTCCCATCCCTGTAAAGCTTCTTCATTAAAGTGCTACAGTAGCGCAGCTGTGTTAAAATGCTGCATTAAGTATAGATGTGCCCGTGGAGCATCACAGCTAAATGCAAGGTGGATCAGATTATTTAGCATAAGTAGTTAACATATAGTTCAAGGGACCATTCAAGATGAAGTGGCCCATTAACACCCCTCCAGTCATAGGGGAAGAAAGGAAAACAAATTGGGGGTGGGAGGGTTTAGGTGGGTTACTGATTATTGTAATAAACCATAAATCCAGTGTCTGTATTCAGTCCATGATTTTTAGTATCTAGCAAAGTTATGAATTTAAGCTCCCAGGCTCATCCTTTGAAGGTGTTGTGCAGGCTTCCTTTGAGGATGAGGAGTGAGGCTTTGTCTACACTACTGTGGTAAGTTAACCTAAGTTACGCAACTCGTGGCTTAGGTTGACTTACTGCACTGTCTACACTGTGCTGGGTCAACGGGAAACACACTTACCGTACTCCTCTCATTCCCGGTGGAGTACTGGGGGTCGACCGGAGAATGCTCTGCCATCGTTTTAGCGGGTCTTCACTAGATCTGCTAAATCGACCGCCGACGCACCGATTACCGGAGCATCAATGCTGCAGTAGTGTAGACATCGCTTGAGAGATCAGTGATAGCTATGTGAAGAGGGTTCACCCACAGGTGATATGGTGTTTTTTGTCTTTTTTTGAGAGTTCGTTTGAGAGAGTAGCGATTGTCTGGTTTCACCCACATAGTTATTATAGGGGTATTTCGTGCACTGTGATAGGGACGTGTAGGACCCATGGATCTTGAAAGGTGTGTTGTGGGGAGTGTTGATCATTGTAGCAGTGAAGATATGACTACAGGTTTTGCATCTGTGGTTCAGGCAAGGTCTGGTGCCACTTTGAGTTCATGTGTCCTAGTCTGTGGGGAGCTTCCTTCTGATGATGAGCTTGAGGAGGATGGGGGGTTGTTTGAATGTCAGAAGAGGGGGGTTAGAAAAAATTTCTTTCCAGATGTGGTCCCCATTCAGTAGGGGTTATTGTTTGAGGATACCCCAATATGAGTTCCAGTTTGGGGTGGTAAGTGACAGCTAGAGGTGTGAGGTCAGAAGGGGCTTTATTTCTGTATTGAAGCAGGTTCTCTTTGGTATTTGGGTGCCTTGTTCCATGATGCAATCTACTTCTATGGTGGAATGTCCTTGTTTGGTGAAGTCGGTATTTAAGCGTGTTAAGAAATATGTCCTGGACTTTCTCCTCGGGGAATATACTGTGGTGCCTGTCTGTAGATAACAGATTTCTTGGTGCATTTTGGGGTGGTTACTGAATCTGCGAAGGAGGTGCGGAGATCAGTGGGTTTCTCGTATATAGTTGTCTGCAGTATTCCATTGTTGAAGCTGACTGTGGTGTCCAGGAAGTTGATTCTCTAGAACATTCCCACTCTAGCAAGTAGAATGGATGTGTGGTGATTGTTGAAGTTGTGGTGGAAATCTGAGGGAGTTTAGATATTTTCATCCTCTGGACAGACTATCAGGCATATCATTGGTTTCGTAGTACATCTCTCCAGAAATTCTTCTTCAAGGTGGCCAGTGAAGAGATTGGTATATTGGAGCCATCCTAGTACCCATGACTGTACCCATGGTTCGACAATATGTTTGTTGTTGAATATTAAATTATGTGTGAGGATGAATTTGGTGATGTGTTTGTGGTGGATATCTGAGGGTTGTCCATGATCTTGTAAATATTTGATGCAGGCAGCAATGCTGTCACTGTAAGGGATGTTGTTAATGTAGTGGAGTTTCTGGAGGAAGTTGGTTGTGTCCTGGAAGAAACTGGCCCTTTGTGTGGTGAGTGATTTGAGGATGGTTTCTATGAACCTCAATATTCCTTCAGTAAGATGCTGTGGCCAGATAGGATGGGTCTGCCTGGGTTCTCTTGTGCATGTATCTTGGGAAGCATGCAGAAGGTCCCTGGGGGATGAGGCTGTAGAGCATCTCTTGAGGTTGTTTGGGGAAGGATTTCATGATATCCGTAAATTCCTCGGTAAATTGTGGTGTGGGATCTTCTTTGAGCTCTTTATAGTAGGTAGTGACACAGAGTTGTCTCTTGCCCTCGTTAACAGAGTCATCTTGGTTGAGGACTAGGATGGCGCCCCCTTTGTCTACTGGTTTGATCACTATTTGGTAGTTGAATATCGGGACTGTATAGCGGTCCTCTAGGTCAGCGGTTCTCAACCAGGGGTCTGCAGCCCCCTGTGGGTCCGCAAGCCCTTTCAGGGGGGCCGTGGAGCCCTGCCACTGAAACCTGGTGTCCCGAGCCCCAGCACCTCCCATGGGGCTGAAGCAGGGAGCAGCACAGGGCTGAAGCTGCAAGCCCCAGTGCTGAAGCTGCGAGCCCAGGCACCTCATTCGGGCTGAAGTGGGGAACGGCACCGGGGCTCAGCACACCCCCCGCACATGGAGCTGAAGCAGGGAGCGGTACGGGGCTGAAGCCGTGAGCAGTGCAGGGCTGAAACCCCGAGCTCCCCACGTCCCCCTGATGCCAGGAGAAACCTTGAGCCCCTGGGCAGAGTTGAAGGGGCACAACGGTGTTGCTCCCCAAACTGCAGTGCCTTATCCAGAGTGGGGTAGTCCTGGGGGCAGCTCCACACACACACCCCGACCTCCTCTTCTCCCTCAGCCCCTACCCTCTGGCCAGATCCTAGGCAGGAAGACCAAGCCAGGCAGTGAGGGGCAGCTGCTCCTCTGGCTGGTGGTGCCATGGAGTGGGCAGCCGTGGCATTCCCCCATCTGCTGCTGCTGGTGCCTGGGGTTGCATCTGCTCCTCAGCTCCCAGCCTCCTTTGACTGCTCACCCAGCCAGTCAGAGCTGCCCAGGCATCTCCAGGCCCAGCAGAGGCCTCGGGGAGTAGCCACCAGCACACAGCCGCAGACAGGTGGGTGGCCAGGGCTGGAGGTAGCACTCCCTCCCTGGACCCTGCTATGCAGAGCTGGGCCGAGCCCTGCCAGCCCTTGTTCCCTTCCCCCCACCCTCCCATAGAAGTCAAACTATGCCTATACCCCAGGGTCCGTCCACCAGGCCCCAGAGTTTTTCTAGCATGTTGAGTGGGGCCTCAGAAAGAACCCCTGCTCTAGGTGATGGAGAGATTGTGGGGGATAAGATGTTTGGTAAGGATTTCATAGCCAATTTTCCCCCCACAGAAATCAATGTAAGATCAAGAGCGTGGTTTCGTCCACTGTAGCTGTGACACTCTGAGTTCATTTCAGAGACCGGAGAAGAGCTCTGTATAAGCTCAAAAGCTTGCCTCTCTCACCAAAAGAAGTTGGTCCAATAAAAGATATTACCTCGCCCACCTTGTGTGTCTAATATCCTGGGACAACACATCTACAACACTGCATACCCAAAATTATTTTTCACTCCATGCATCTGATGAAGTGGGTTTTAGCCCATGAAAGCTTACGCCCAAATAAATTTGTTAAGTCTCTAAGATGCCACAAGGACTCCTCGTTGTTTTTTTCCAAAATTATTAGTCAGTTTTTAAAATCTTAGCCAGTGTTTTTCTTGCAATTATTTTTTTAAACACGCAAAATCACAATTTTGCCACACTTTTTTAAAAAGAGGATTTTAAAAAGTAACGGTTAATAAAACACAAATATGCATATTCTTACCTGGCAGCTATGCTTCCTGGTTGGATTTCCTTGACAAAGATACCAGCTTCTCCCACCGTTTGATTTTTAAGGGCAATCACACTAAAACCAAGGCCTCCAACAGATGGTTTTTCTATATCTATGTATTCTATTTGCCTGCCCTAATAAAAAAAAGGGTTAATTTTCAACACAGTAGAATGATCTTGTTTAAAATTTATGAGTACAAGGAGAACTAGTCTTTCCCCTTCTAAAAAAAAAAAAAAAAAAATGCAGAATTTTGAACATGTTATTTCTATAAAACTCTCCTATTTATTATTTTTCATATAACAGAATGCAGTATATACAGGCAGCCCAAGGTTCTGAACCCTCAGGAAATTTAAGAGCTGCTTCCACACTTCATTCAGATTATGAGATGAATTCCAAACTGGACAAAAAGTATGAACAAAATGCTGATTAATGCAATTTATTTAGCATTTCTGGAAATATTGCATAACTAAACCAAATAACTTGTGTTTTGGCTGCTTTTTGCTTTAGAAAGGGTTAGTTTTTAGCTCTGTATTCAAAGGCTATGGTTTTTAAAACACATATTTTTTCCCTCCCCCTGTAATTTCACACTTAAGAGTAACCAGTTGTTTTTTTGCAACTGTTCTGTTTTTCAGTTCCAGTACAGAGTTTCTGCGTTTGTTTACTGGCATAAAATACCCATGAAAAAATACTTTAATCACATCTGTTTTATTTAAAATAATGTTCAGTCTTTAACTCAACCAGTAAAAGATTTAGCTATAATGGCACACTAATGAGAAAAGTTGTGCTTAAAACACTACAGTTACATTAAGGTAGTCAATTAGAAACAGTTATTTAATATAGAAAGGAATGACTAACCAATTAACCCAACTGATGAAAACAATGCCCAGTTCTAAATGCATAGGGTAAGCCCAGTCCTACATGGCTGGATCCCTGTGCCTGTATGGCTCTGCATATATAGTGATATCACTAATATGCTACACCACCTATGTTCATGAAGTTAGTATCAGTCTGACTAGGTTTTAAAATCAAGTTGTATTAAAATTAAATTAAGGGGTATATAAAATGTTTTAAATCACTTTCACTGTTAATATCTCTATGTAGTGTGATAGCTGCCCCACTCCTGGAGAACAGGGGTTAAAACAGCCACGCTAGGCTGATTAGGGAAGCAGCCACAGCTGGGGCCAGCCCAATCAGGGCCCAGCTGACCAGGGCCAGTTCCAGGCACCAGCTTAGCAAGCAGGTGCTTGGGGCGGCCATTCCGGAGGGGAGCGGCACGTCCAGCTATTCGGCGGCAATTCAGCGGAGGGTCCTTCACTCCGGCTCGGAGTGAAGGACCTCCCACCGAAGTGCCGCAGATCGCGATCGCGGCTTTTGTTTGTTTGTTTGTTTGGGCTGCTTGGGGTGGCAAAAACCCTGGAGCCGGCCCTGCAGCTGACCCTGATAAAAGGGCTGTGGGCCAGGAGCTGTAGGACTCTCTTTCCAGCCTTGGGAACTCAGGGTATAGGGAACGAAGCAGGGCTGGGGGAAGGCAAGAGGAGCTGGGGAGCTCCAGCCTGGTAAATCCCCAGGCTGCGGGCCTTGCTAAAAGGCCAAAACAGGTACTGGGGTTGCAAAGGCTACAGCCCGGGGTTAGGCAGAGGCAGCTGGTCTGACCCCCTTGCCAATGATGAGTGGCCATTCCAGACTGCAGTTTGCCCCAAGGAAAGGGGGCTGGATGATGACTGACAGTAGCCACTGAGGCAAGGTGGGTTTAGAGGATTGGGGGTTTCCTTGGGAGGGGAGACCAGAGCAGAGGTACTGCAGAGGGCAGAACCTCAAGGTAAGGGGCACAGGGGTCTGGGAGGGACATAAGGGCCTGAGGCAAATGAGACATCGGCCAGCAGCGGGCGCTCTGAGTGCTGGATGAGCTAATTCCTGAGATGACCAGCAGGAGGCGCCGTGCCGGTGAGTCATCGCTTCACTACACGTTCCTATTCAGCAGGTTAAAATTCAAAACTGAAATTTTTTCAGGAAATGTCTATTTCCCATGAAATTTCATCAATAGGCAAAATAATTATGGTTTTCGCCAACTGAATTTTTTCTGTTTTGGGGTATTGATTATAAGATTAAAAAAAGTCAACAAAAGCAAAATATATTCCATTCTTGTCAAAGTTTTTCCACCGGGGGGGAATCCCAACCAACTCTCCTCTCCTACTGAGTTATAAGACATCACTCCCCCAGATACAGTACAGAAAGTTATGTTTGGCAATCTATTGCAACACAATGTATGCAAAAGAATTAACATTTGTTGAAAATAAGTTTAAACACACTGGCCATGACAGGACTTTACCTTTGCCATCCCTTGGATCATCATATTGAATTCATCAGCTCCTAGTTTTGGATTGAGTGGATCTACTCTGGGTCCAGATGAATTATAAGCCATATACATGTTCCCATTAGTAATGGATCTGTCAGCATCAAATACTAGTAACCCTCTCTTAGTAAAATCAAAGTCCACTGAACGGTCTGAAGGCATGTAATTGAGCTGTTATAAAAACAGATTTGCAGGTATAATAATTTTGTACAAAACCAGCCATATAAACAATTTATCAGCATTTTAAATCAGAATATTAATACCTAGTACATACATCAGGATTACCTAAACTGTTTCACCAAGTGTGTGAAAGGACTAACAGGAACAGGCACTTACTAAGGGACGACATCTAATTTGTGCACAAATTAAAAACAGGAGGAAAAGAAAGAGGCAGAAAGAATGCAGAATCAGCTGGAGCCAGAAAAAGAAATGCAGCATGACAGCAGCAATAGCCAAAACAGTGTTCCTTTGGTATTAAAAAAGAATTAAAATACAATCCCTCCATGTTTCAGCTATTTTTTAAATGAAAAAATATTTTTTCTTCCCTTTCATTCTCCCGATATTCATTACATCCCTCTTTCTTGTCTTTTCCTACTCTCCTGTTTTTCCCTCTCCTCCCCAGGAGCTAAACACATGTGGAAGGAGTGAGTGTCGAAATAGCCTTCAGACTACGGGTTACATTTTCAAATGCACCTGGGTCACTTAGGCACCTAAGTCCCATGTTCAAAAGAGACTTAGGTACCTAAGGCCAGGTCTACACTTGGAAAGCTTTGTTAGTATGGCTTTAGCCTAGTGTGAACACAGCTTATACTGGCAAAACTGAGTCAAATAAACTATACTGGCTTATCTGCCAGTATAACTGTCCTGGCAAAAGCACAATTTTGCTAGTATAATTGCATCTACACAAGGGGCCTTTGCTGGCACAGCTATGGTGGTCACAAATCATATCTCATCATACTCCTGATCAATATAGCTATGCTGGTAACAGTTTGTAATGTAGACCTGACTTAAATCTCACTGCAAGTCAACAGGACTTATGCTAAGACACCTAGGCACTTCTGAAAATTTTATCCCAGGTCTCATGAGCCTTCCTTGATTCAGTTATTTCAGCCAAAGCGTGTTACCGCTCAAGAGTGCAGGAAAGCAGAACCAACAGCAGAAGAGCCACTTGTGCTTTCTCCAGTTCACAGGCCACACTTGTGTTCCCCTTGGCTGGGTCTGGTCCACAAGCAACAGATTGCACATGCTATAATTGCTAGGTGCTGGAATTCAATGTATAGCAACACCAGTCAACTAACAAATGCAGAAGCTTTCCCCTGGGAATTACAATTGTTGACATGCCAAGCAGGAGAAAGTTCTCTCGCTCAGGAGTATGTTTAAAAGGAACCTGAACAAAATCAACTTTTTGAATAACGATTCTGAATATTCCAGGTATTCATTTGTTATGCACTTGCCACAAACTCTGCTCCTAGATGTATTTGCATGTACATGCAAATAGGTCTTCTACAGCCATGTGGATAATGACAGGACACCTGCAGAGATCACTGGCACCCAGGGCATGCAGAATTAATTCCTGATTTTAAGTTCATGTGCCTGGCTCAACTAGCCCTATGACTTGAACTGGGTGTACAGGTGAGCATGCCACAAGCACTCAGATCCTACAGTTATGGGAGCCATAGCCCAGTTAAATACCAATGTGGTAGAAAACAGTTAGAACATTCAATCACCCAAGTCACAGTTTATAAAGCCAAATGGCAGCCTCCCCAGTGATACAACACCTACATACTATATTTTAAATTCCTACAAAAATATTGCCAAAATATGTAACTTTCAACTTACTTGCTCCTTCAGTTGCTTGATGGACTGCTGAAGGGTCAGTATCTGATTAAACAAAGGGCTTCTGAGTGTGTTACATAAAATAGTCAGGTTTTCATTCTGTGAAGTCTCCCCTCTCTCTCGCAGTTTCATTTGCAGACGATCAAGAATTTGTAGCACCTGCTGCTTATCTAATACACCCCAAAATAATACAGATTAGAAATCTGGCTCATAATTCTCTCACTACTCAACAAAGATAATTATTCTTAAAATATCTACCTGCTGCAGGATTTTCAGGCATGGTGAATTTGATCTCTTTGGAATCAGTCAGAATAACCTACATGAAGTTTAAAAAAAAAAAAAAAAAAAAATCAACTAAGAAACCAAGTGTAAACTAAGTTATACCTTCCAGCAGATTGCTTAAGAGACAGTCAACTCACAGTAAAAAAAATTTTTTTTTTTAATCATTGCTATAAGTAACATGTAAGATTACTATAATCACTATTAGAGGAAAAACTTCTATTTTTTCATTGTGTTTACTTCACTTACAGTATTGTTTACTTTGTTACAATCAAATACAGTCAGTTTCACTGCTACTTATAAATAGTCACCAAGTTTCCCATTTGTTTGGGCCTTTCACACAGCAACAAGGGGAAAAAATGAATTTTTAAACATAGAAAAATGCAACTGTAAAAGACATAGAAATGGCCGGAGAGATTGAAAGACAGGTATGTTACAGCAAACTATTTTAAACTTGTTTTTAATTGACTACATCTTAAGCTGATGTCCTTTCAAAATACACAATTATTTAAAAAACTACTTTTTCCATTGTTGTTTTAATTATTGAGATACTGGCAGACTCCTCATAGTTATGGGTCAATCCTACAATCTGATCATGTGGGTGGAACCTTACACCTGTGCGAAGCCCCTCCAAAATCAGTGGTGCTCCACCCATACAAAATATATTGCAGAATCAGGGCCTAAAATTGGTCTAGTTGATAAGGCATTGGGCTTGATAAGGAAATCTGAGTTCTATTCCCAGCTCTGCACCACAAACCTGCTGCATGAACTTGAGCAAGTCACATCTCCTCTGTCTTAGTTATTTAAATAAGCCCTTTGGGGAGGGACCATCTCTTACTATGTGTCTGTTCAGTGCCTAACACAATGGGACCCCAATTTTGGTTGAGGCCTCTAGGTAGTACTGTTATAATAAATAAATATTAGCGTTTGCAATATGTTTTGTGAGACGATCAAGTTCTTATGTGCATATCATCACCTTGCATTTATATAGGGCCTGGCATGCTGAGGGCCACCAAAGCAGTTTACCAACTTAAACAGATACATAGTATACGCCTGACTTTCCAAAACCCTATTATCCAAACCTCTGCAGTATCTGAATCCCCATGGGGGACAAGGAAGGGATATGCCTAATGCAGAGGTTCGGATAATAGAGCAGAAACTCCTGGATGCGGGGGAGGCCACCCTGCTACTGAATGGCTCCTGTGAGAGCACAGAGAGCCCTGTGCAGCCCCGCTGTCACAAGAGCACGTGAGCAAGGCTGTGACATAAGGTTGCCAACTTTCTAATGGCATAAAATCAAACACCCTTGCGCCGCCCCTTCCCCAAGACCCCGCTCCTGCCCCACCCCTTCTGAGGCCCCACCCACCTCTCACTCCAGCTCCCTCCCTCTGTCGCTCGCTCTTCCCCCACCCTCACTCACTGGGCTAGGGCAGGGGGTTGGGGAGGAGGGGGCTCCAGCTGGGGGTGGGGGCTCCAGGGTGGGGCCAGAAATGAGGGTGCAGGAGGGGGTGAGAGCTCCGGCTGCGGGTGCAGGCTCAGGGGTGGGGCTGGGGATGAGGGGTGTGGGGTGTAGGAGAGGGCTCAGGGCTAGGGCAGAGGGGTGGGATGCGGGAGGGGGTGTGGGTTGCAGGAGGGAGTTTGGGTGCAGGAGGGGGCTATGGGATGGGTCGGGGATTGGGATGCAGGAAGGGGTGCGGGCTCCAGGAGGGAGTTAGGGTACAGGATGGGGCTCAGGACTCAGGCAGAGGGCTGGGGTGTGGAAAGACATGAGGGGTCTGGGAGGGAATTCCGAGCTGGGGCAGGGAGTTCGGGCTCCAGGTGGTGGCGCTTACCTCAGGCGGCTCCAGACCAGCATGTCCAGTCCCTAGGCGGAGGCATGGCCAGGCAGCTCTGCACAGTGCATGCTGCCCATGCCCCCCACAGCTCCTATTGGTCATGGTTTCCCAGCCAATGGGAGCTGCGGAGCCAGCGATGGGGGCAGGGACAGTGCATGGAGCTTCCCTGATTGCCCCTCTGCCTAGGAGCTGCTGGGACATGCCAGCCGCTCCTGGGAGCTGCGTGGACCCAGGGCAGGCAGCAAGCCTGCCTTAGTCCTGCTGCGCCACCACCCGGACTTTTAAAGGCCCCGTCAGCTGTGCTGACCGGAGCTGCCAGGATTCCTTTTCGACCACGTGTTCCAGTCAAAAACTGGATGCCTGGCAATCCTACCATGACAGCAGAGCTTCAGAGAACTTCCTGCACTGCCACTGGGCCAGTGACACCTGATCCTGCAGGAGCAAGGTGCAAGGAAGGCTGCAGTTCTGGTGGGGCGGGGCAGAGCAGAGTCCTGGCCAGGGGCCTCTGCCTCCCCCTACACCTTGCGCCTGCAATAATCAGAGGGCAGGAGCTGTAGCACAGGGCGCCCTTTGCAGCCCAGCTGTCAATCCTACAATCTGATCATGTGGGTGGAACCTTATACCTGTGCCGAGTCCCTCTTGATTATCCAAACTCCCTATTATTCAAATAAAACCTGGATCTCCCATGTCATCTGGATAATCAGGAGTATACCGTGTGAGCAATAAACAAGATTAATTCATTAACAACCAGCCCCGCTGAGGAGAGGTTTGTGATGATTTTGGTCAGCCTGGACAGTTAAGGTTTCTGGTGGAATCCATACAGACCTTAGTGGTTTGCATGGCTTCTACCTATAACCAAGCAAAATGTGATGTTTTTAAGACAACGTACAGATTTGGTGGGGGAGGGTGTCACTTTAAACCAAAACTCATAGCAAAATTCAGTGACTGCAAACCCATGTGACCCATAACCTAAGAAAGGTTTATGAAAATCCCTCTGGACTGAAATCTCTGAGCACTGCACAGCTTTATTCAGGATACTTTTACTTTTCATGTGAAATACTGCACATCCAAAGGCACAATTGCTGTCTAATTCCACACTGGGCTTTGGTCCTGCATCAACTCAGAAGAAAATACAATAGATTGAAGCACTAACACCACTTTCTCCTATATTCCAGGCCTGACCTTGCTTAGCTTGATAAACCTCATAAGATACTTTCAAACAGGCCAATTTTACCTGCCCCACACCCAAACACAATTCATAGGAGCTGCAAAACAATCCCATTGTGGAAGTAACTTGAAAACACCTTAAAGACAGCTCAAACACAGGAGCTGTCACACCACAAAATAAATCCAATCTGGCAGGAAACCTGAAGACTCACTAAGGAAGCAGCACATATTCAAGAGAAACCTCATCTAGAGGCTTGTGTTGATATGGTCTTGAAGGTGAATCATGTTTCTGTTGCAGTGGGTAGAAGGACAGTAGTTATGACATGGGGTAAGGATTCAAGAGAGAAGGATTAAAGCAGAAAAAATGGGAGCGTCCTTTTGGCTCCACCAAATATGCAGAAGAGCCCAGGAGAAAAAGAATCAAATGAAAATTTCCACTTACAGCCTTAAACTGTTGACTGGAGTTGCTAAGAGCTATTGCAGAGGCAGCTACACGGCAGTGGCAGTTGAAGCGATCCTCGTGTACAATCGGTCTGTCCCAGTCCTGTTTCCGTCCCATCCCATTCTCCTCACCTCGCTAGTTCTAGTCTCACCTCCTCAGGCTTTTCATCCCTGGCTCCTCACCTGTTCTAAGTGCTAGTCATCTTGACCAACCATTCTCAGTTCTCTCTCTATCCCCTGACTCCTTTTCTATGGTCTCCTCCTCTTTGCTTCCACCCCAGTTTCCACTGCAACTCCCAAGCGCTCTAGCTTCCAATCCTAGACTCTCCTATCAGGCTTCTTGTCCCATTTTACACTGCCCTTCCAACCCATCCAGAGCTGGATTAGCCATCACTGAGCCCTAGGAAACCACAGGGTTGCACCTCTGTTCATGTTGTCCCATGCCACCCAGGATGATGGTGCAGCCAGGCCAAATCTGAGTGAATGCCGTTGCGACCTGATGCACAGGGTCTCAGCACCACTCAGGTTTGGGCCCTCATTTCCCAACAAATTTGGGCCGTAGGCACATGAGTAGTTTGCCTATGCGTTAATCGGGCCCTGGTCTTATCCCCTGCAATCCAGCTCTTGTCTCCTCTGCATTCTAATCAGGAAACTTTTCTTCACATTGCCTGGGCCCAGCAGGTTGCCACTGAGAGCACAGGAGAGGCAGGTTCCCTGCTTTCGGTTCCAGGGCCAGTATGATTTTTCAAAGGTTTATAACTTGGCCAAATTTGGGCAGATTTTCATGGGGACAGCAAAAGACACATCCCTGATACATCTGTTTATACACAAACAGTGTAGTTCATGGGTTCTCAAACCTTTCCATGTTTTAAGTTCTCATGAGTACCTTTCCTCTGATTTGCAATTGAACAACATCTTTGTGGCAACTACAGCAATTACTCATGTAATATTAGGAAAGTATTCAGCATTTTTCAGTGCAATTTAGCAGCTGGAAACAAGGAAGGACAATATCATGTGACCAGCCAGCTATCTGCAAACCACCAGCAAACATTTCACAGAAGAATGCAAGGATCCCATGGCATGTGCAATGCACTCAGGTCTGCAGGGTGTGACACTCTAATTTAAATTGGAGTAACATCCAAAGTGTGTTAGGTACTGTCCAAACACAGATGCAGGCCAGGACTACACTTTAACAAAAAAAAAGCAAAAAAAAAGCTCGCCAGTATAGCGATATGGGCAAATCCTAGTGTGGACACAACTTATATAGGCAAAAAAGTGCTTTTGACAGTATAGCTTATACCAGTTTGGCAAGTGAAATAAGCTACATCAGAAAAAGCACTTTTATGCCTGTTTGACTGTAGCTACACTAGGGCCTTTGCCATTATATAAGTGTCACACACACACACACACACAAAGTCACACCCCTAAACAACATTACTATACTAGAAAAAGTTAAGACCTGGCAAAGATCGTGCTCTGTCCGAAAGTGCATAGAATTTTCTGAACAACTCTGGAATCCTGCAGAAGGAAAGAAGCTATTTTATACAGCCCTGTGACAGGATAATGTTACCTTACACAGTCCAGGAGCCAACACACCTAATCAGCAAAGAATTATGGCTTTAAAAAACAAGACTTTCATCAGGTTATTAAGACAAAAAGCATACAATAAACAAAAATATGGACAGTTCCTGCCACAAATTTACAGCTGTGTCTTCACAGCCGAAGAGATGTGTGTTTTCCACCAAGACATCTATCTCAATGTAAAGTCCTAGTGGAGTAAAGGCACAGGTAGCTGTTACTTTGACTAGCTACAGTGAGTTAAAAATTACAGTGTCTTGTTTCCACTAGGACTTTACATTGAGCTAGATGTCTTGGTGGAAAAAAAACATCTCTCGTTTGCATTGGAGATGAAGTCTATGTCTAAAGACACATGGGGCCTGGTTTTCAGAAGTGCTGAGCACCAACTCCAGACGAATCCATGGGAGCTAGTGGCGCTCAGCACCTCTGAAAAATTATGTGAAAAGAGAATACACGAAAAACTGGAAAGGTGCAGATAATGGTTTTACTTTCTCCTCCCAATCCCCCCACAATAATCAAACTAATTTTCCTCAGATGTAAAAATAAAGAGCCCTTTACATCCTGGCAGCTACATCTACTCACATGCAGCAGGGGCGGAGATTGGGGGGAAAATGATGAAGTTTTGCCCCCCCAAACCCGAGTTGATGTGGGGGGGGGGGGTCACACAGGGTCACGTGCCCCTATATCTCTGCCTTCCATTTAGCACAGAGGTTTTCAAATGAGAGGAGGGGATGTGTGGAGGAACACTCATGGGGGCTAGGGTGACCAGACAGCAAATTTGAAAAATCGGGACGGGGGTGGGGGGGTAATAGGAGCCTATATAAGAAAAAGACCCAAAAATTGGGACTGTCCCTATAAAATCGGAACATCTGGTCACCCTAATGGGGGCAAGCAGTGACTCCAGGCAGCTCAGGACAGCCCCACACGGCAGGGCTTGGAGAGGGTGGCCAGGTGTCTGGTTTTTGACCAAAAAGGTGGTCGAAAAGGGAACCTGACAGTGTCCAATCAAATCTACTAACTGAACACCCAAAGTCTGTTTTTTAAATATTATAAAGTTGGCAACCCTATCCCCACGCCCTGCCATACGGGGCTGGCCTGAGCTGCCTGGCATCACCACTCCCCACCAAACGTTCCTCCATGCCCCATCCCCAGTTTGAAAACCTCCGAGATAAAGGGAAGGCAGAAATCTGGGGGTGGCACATGACCCTGTGTGCTACCCATGTGTCATTTCTGCCCCCCCAAACTAAGGCTATGACAGAACCCTCTGATCATTTCCAGAGTGACAGAAGGTGATCAGCTCCCCATTTCTAAACCAAGCAGGTCTTGGACAGAGTAGGGAGTTAAAACCAGAACCAGCTGGCCAAACCCCTGGAAAGAGTGGGGCTGCTGTTGAAAAGGGCCTTGAATCTGAACTGTCCCTGATTGGGAGTATTTTAAACACTATGTTGATTGTGGCACTATTAAAAAGTGCCTAGACCGATAGCTCAGCCCCTGGCTCATCGGGGCTTTGCAGAGCCAAAGCCAGTCCTGCCCGAACTTCAGAAGATTTGGGGTGCTTTCGGGTGGGGATCGGTAAAACTCAAACTTTCAGGAAGTTCCTGACCTGCCCAGTCCCAGCCACTGTTCATTCCCCCCTCCCACCCTCGGGAGTGTTAACCAGCGAAGGGGCAGGAAACGGACAAGGGGGTGGGGGGGTCCCTGTCTGTGGGGAAGCCAAGCTGCCCCCGAGTGTAATACCTGGTCCGCAGAGGCGGGTTGTAAAAGGCCTGGCTGCTCCCGGGTCGCCGGCTGCTCTGCGCTCTCACCTGGGCGGAAGCGAGCGGCTGGATTTTGACCGCACCTCACCGTCACCTGCAACACAGGAAATCAGCCGGGCGGGCGCCGCGTACGCACATACCCACCGCGCTGCGGGCCGCGGGCGAGCTCCGTGCGGGTCTCAGCGCAGGACAGGGGGACTCGAGGAGAGAGGACTCGGGAGGGGGAAAGGGAGATAGGGAACGCGGGGAGGAACAAGGGGTGGGAGAAGGGAGTGGAGGGAGACAAGGGGGAAAGAAGGACAAGAAAGGCACAAATTATTCCCAAGCAAAGGGGATGATGGGGGATGGAGAAGCTGGGGGGGTGGGGGGGGGGGGCTGAGAGAAGGGGGTCCTTTCATTACCAGCATGTAAACATGGTCTTGAACTCATACCAGGGCTGGCACTACAGCTGAGCGTCCTTTAACTAGGATCTCTCATTACCTGAATACCATATTGGCCCCTGATCCTGCTAACACTTACACACAGGCTTAGCTTTACTACCATGCCTAGCCCCATTGATTACAATGCCACTGCTCGCCATAGCAAAAGTACAAAAGTCAACTCTGGTCATATTTGTTGGTTTCCTTAAAGCCCCAGCGCCTGGATTCAGGTGGTTAGAGAAGAATCTCAGCTTTCATTAAAAAAAAAAAAAAAAGACAAAAAAAAATAAGTTTCTTGTCCTTGTGGCTGTGGAGGAACGCACCCTTAATAAAATGAACCCAAAGATTTTTTTAAATCTCATGAGTTTTAAAGCCAATCGCGTGATTTCTGGATGTTTGGAGTTGGCAATACCCTGAGCGCATGCAGGATTGGGGCCTTGGATGGAAGCTTTGTATTGTCCTTGAAAACATGATATTTCAGTCTGTCCATGGACAGTCACTCATAGTTGCCATTTGGAATTCAGGGGTTCACTGACTGTAATAGGGTGACCAGATGTCCTGATTTTATAGGGACAGTCCCGATTTTGGGGGCTTTTTCTTATATAGGCACTTTTTACCCCCTACCCCCATCCCGATTTTTTACACTTGCTATCTGGTCACTCTAGATTGTAATAAAAAGGAAAGAGAAAGAGGACACAAAGCCAAGCAAAAAATTCAAAAGACTTTAGGGTGGTGACATGTTTGACAAAGAACTTTCTGAGATACCTATAAACATAGTCCATAAAAATCTGGATGGAAAGAAAATGTAGTTTTAGAAAAGGCTGTTGGAAATGGTCAATCAGATCTTCATAGTGCAACAAATCAGTGGCTAGCTAGGATTTCATGTCTGTCGTTACCTGAAAACTGCAGTTGCCTGGAACTTCACAACAGCAACATAGTTAGAACTCGCCTTGTCCTGCTTTAAAGGCACTAGCTCCTACCACTTCAACTAAAGAGGAACGGCCATTAGCCATCAGCAGCATAGGGACTTGGACACACAGTTGAGTCATTCTGATTCTAAACAGAGAGAAGAGTGGCACACAAACATACTATATTATTATTATTGTTTGTATTATCTTAATGCCTAGGACTCCCAGTTGTACTGTGTTCCAAAATAAAATAAATCCAAAATCGACTATTTACATTATTTGTGGTTCACAAATTGATCCCTAGTTCTTTTACATTCATGAAAATTCTCTCGTTAGCAAAGAGACAAAGACAGGCAGAAACAAGCAAGTATTACCATTCATCTTGGATGATAAATAATCTCAAAGGGTAAAAATTTGACCTACCAATATAAAACCAATCTGTTTTCAGAGGTGCTGACGGGTAACTGAAGCCTTGACTTGTTTTCTTCAACACTATAATTGATAAACTCTAGATGTATGTGAAATAAACTAAAAAAGAGGACAAGGTAGGTAATATGATGTTTTTATTTGAACAACTACTTTGTAATAATTCTTTGCATTTCTATAGCACCTTTATCCAATTCAGCAGCTGAAAACTGATGCTGCACCAATATGACATAGTTTGAAACAGCAAGACTCTTTTTACAGTAGTGAAGTAGATCGACACTAGGGATTTGGACAGGTGCAGGTACATTGGTGCAAGAATCCCTAGTGTATAGATAAGCTCTGTATTTATTAAAATTTGTGAAGTACTCTGTGATCCTTGGATAGAAAAATGATGGCTAGAGATGACACTGTTGGGATTTGGAATTTGTGGTTTCAGGGAGCCTGATGTCATTTCCACACTACAGTTTTTCTAATGTTAAGAAACTGTTTTTAACACAGGTTTAAATGAGTTTGGTTAAGCACACGTCATTTTGCCATTGGACATAACTGCATTGTAAACCACATTTGGAGTCTGGGTTATTTGTTTAATCTGTATTTGCAGATGTTGATTTTAAATTGTATGGTGTGAAAAACTAGTCTGGACAGGGCCTAGGTATTTACTGATGTTAATGTGTTTGTCATTTATAGTGATCAATAAGAATCATTAGTTTTTTCTTTGACATTTTGAAAAGTAGAACAAATGTTTATACCTTTTTGTATAATACTTGGCTGTAGGAAAAAAATGTTGTACCTTGTGGGTGTGTCAGTTAGAACCAATTATAACCTTCCATGACCTGCCATAGCACTAAAATGTCTAGCTGCATTTTATTTGTCCTGGTAAAATGGCCATACTGGGTCAAACCAAAGGTCCATCTAGTCCAGTATCCTGTCTTCTGACAGTGGCCAATGCCAGGTACTCCAGAGGGAATGAACAGAACAGGTAATCATCAAGTGATCCATCCCCTGTCGCCCATTCCCAGCTTCTGGCAAAAAGAGGCTAGGGACACCATCCCTGCCCATCCTGGCTAATAGCCATTGATGGACCTATTCTCCATGAACTTATCTAGTTCTTTTTTGAACCCTGTTATAGTCTTGGAGATTTTGCTTAAAATTAACCCCCAGTGTCCAGGAACTTCTCTCCCACCAATGAGCAATGTTTGGGTTGGAGGAAAATATGAGGCAGATACACTTTTTGCTCCTCTCCATCCACAATCCCGCCAAAAATTAGAGACTTTTTTAAAAAATGACATTCTAAAAACAAACCTCTACAACAATAATAAATCACATTGGTGGGTTTGTTTTTTGTTTATTTTTTTGGCCTGCCCTCCGGTTGGTTGGTTTTCTTAACTTTCAGGGACTGGCTGCCTCTTCCCCTCTGTATGTGTTTTCCCCCACCCCCACATATTTGTGTCTGAAATGCACATTAAAAGGATGGAGAGAAAAACTCCCTGTTTGTAAGTGAGGGGAACTTCATGTTCTTTCTGCTAGTCCCTGGCCTGTTGTCAGAAGTGGATTCAAACCCACCTCCAGACTGCATCTGGAACACAGCACCTTAGCCAGCCTGACAGCTCATCCCTGTGGGAAGGAGGATGGACTTAATCTCCCTCCTGTTCCCAGCCCCCTTCCTTCTCATTCCGCCTACCTTTGTCCCCAGCCCCTTCTCCCTCTCCAGCCTCTCCTCTCCCTTGTTATTCTTCCTCCAGCCTTCACTCCTCAGCTCACTCGCCTGCCCACCCTTCCATGTTCCCACAATGCAAAGCGCTTCGGGCACCGGCAGCCGAGCTTCCTAACCATAGAGAGGAGGGAACGTCTTGAGTGAGGGCAACCCAGCTTCCTATACTTTAATACAATGGGGACGCGGTAGCCATCTTGACTAGGGGCAGCCTGACTTCCACCGGTAGAGGAAGCAGAGGAGGCTCGGCAAAGGGCACGGCTTGCCTTCAGCGCGATTGATACTACACGGCAGCCATCTTTGATGTGGGCAAAGTACCCAGCTGCACACTGAGCCGCCCTTCCCCGCGAGGCCGCCTAGGGCTGAGGCCGCGGCGGCGGCCCGGCTTGGTTTCCATGATCATGGCTGCCTGGCCGAGGCGACGGCTGCTGCTGCTGAGGGGGCGTCAAGCGGCAGCCCGGTTGCTGGGCGTCCTGTGGCTGGCGTGTGTCGCCGCGGAGGGCGTTGCCGGCGGGGAGCCCCCGCTCAAGTGCGACGAGCTGAGGCTGGGGCAATATCCTGAGTCTGGCTGGGGCTGCGGTGGGGGGCTCGGTTACCATGGTGACGCCTGGTCTGTGTGTGTGTGTGTCTCTCTCTGTGGCTGCTCCCGCCTGTGTCCCAGGGCCAGCCCCTGGTGCTCCTGTCAAAGGGAGTGTGGCGAGGCTTGTTACTACCTCCCCCCCATCCCATGGGATGCCCCCCCCCGGCTCTTCAGGCCACGCTGAGGTAACCGCAGCTGAGATCAGCCTCTGTGAGGGGTGCAAGATCTTTGCTTGGGATGGTTTGGGGGTCTCTTCTTCCCGCCCCCATTAGTAGTGAAATTTCAGAGGCTCTGGATAGTGACAGTAGCTGAGGAGAGTGACTGAGCTGGTTAATAGGGGAAGTGAGAGATTCTTTCCTGGGGTTTGTGGTTGGGGTTTTTTTTGGGGGGGGGGGAGAGGGGTCTCCCTTTTGTTTTGTTAGTGTTCAAATCACCCGGAGGTGATGGTTCTGCAGGACATAATTCATTTGGGAGGAAAGAGATCAGCCTGTAGTTTTGAATCTGCAGACTGCGGTAGGTAGAAATATGGGGGTGACATATTCCCGTTGGGAAGCTATTGACTGTTTAAAGGGGGTCACATCTGGCTCCCACCTTTTCCCTCCAATAAGTTAATTGTTGATAGTTTTTGACAATTGCTGACATTAATGGAGATCAAAAGTGGAAGGTAAGCAAGGAAAAGTTGACTTCCCATCCTGCTTTATTTGGCCCTTGGAGTTCAGTCTTCGGTAACATAAGTAGGAAGTTTTACAATTCAGTCCCTGTTCAGGATTAGTCTGGTGCAGATGTGTGACAGTTTATGATTTTCAAATGATCACTTTTCATTCTGTTGGGTGGTGTTGGTAGGTGGAACCTCTTTTTAACCAAATACTTGACAGCGAATCAGTCATCAGTTGATAGACTACTGGTGTGCATTGACACTCATCCTAAAAAGCAAGGAAATAAAAGCTGGTTTTGAGGTGCTTGATTTCCCTCTTTTAATAGAGAAGGTTTTTTTTACTCTTCTTATAAGAGTTAGCCACTTATATTTCCTTCAGGTGTTA